GCGGGGCTGGTGATGAACGCGAAGAAATCGCAGCTCTCACCATCGCAACACCTTCGATTTTTTGGTGTAGAGTTGGACACCGACACCGGCCGATTCTCCATCGGTCCCGACCGACGAATGGCGCTACATGCAACCATCCATAACCTCCTAAGTGCAAGCAAGGCATGCAGACCAGTCCCCGTCTGTCATGTGGCCAGAATCACAGGCATGCTCGCCTCAATGAGTGTCGCACTAGGCGCGACAGCTCGCACATTCAGCCACGCCATGTTACAAGTGATCAAAGACGCGCCGTCATGGAAAAGCAGTGTGATCGTCTCCCCATCTGCAGCTGAGGAGCTCCACTACTGGCGCGAAGAGTTTGATCGGTTTAACGGTGCACCATTTCACGTCCGAAACAGCTACGACGCTGTAATCCATGTGGCTGCGAGCTCTCACGGTTGGGGCGCCACCCTGACCACGTTTCCGGGCGGCCTCGAAGAAGCCAGTGCAACCATGCCAGAGCCGCTACGAGCAACGTCCAGCACGAGACGGGAGATTGAAGGCGTCTTTTAAGCAATCCAAACGTATGCCAACAAGATCCAGAAAAAACACGTTCTCGTGCGGGTGGACAACCAAGGTGTATTCTTCATCCTTCACAAAGGCGGCTCTCGCAGCCCCGACCTCACCATGGCCTGCAAGGGCACCATACGAACATGCATGGAGCTCGGCACGCGCTTGATCATCGAATGGATTCCCCGCGAACTCAACTCACACGCTGACGAGCTTTCCAAAATAGTCGATAACGACGACTACTCGTTGAAGACGCCATGGTTCCGCCTCTTAGAACGTCGTTGGGGTCCCCATTCCATCGACCTTTTTGCAAACTCCCGCAACACCCAGCTATCGCGCTTCTGCACAAAGATCCCTCACCCAGACGCCTTCGCAATTGATGCATTTTCGCTCGCATGGACAGGCGAAAATGGTTTCGCGTTCCCCCCGCCCCAATTGGTCCCCGCCGTCCTCCACCACGCACAACGCACCCACGCATCACTGGCCGTGGCACAAGCTGGCACAAGCTGGTGGCCACTCCTACAACCCTCCCCATGTACGTGGGCGTCACACATCCATGCGCACATCCCTCTAACACACGGAAGCCAATGCTTAGCTGCAGGGACACATTCCACTGCCTTCTCAGGCACAGGATTACCGCATAGCCCAATCATAGCATTTCGAGTGGTATTTGACTAATTCATAACTTCTCCGCCTTGTGTTCGGATTTGCTCCCAAAGCTACACGACCAACTGATTAACATGATCGCACAGTCTCGTGCAAACTCGACGATCCGGACATACGAACCATACTGGACTAAGTTTCGGGCGTTTTGTACAAAGGTGAACCTTCCATTTCTCCCCGCATCCGACATGACCCTCGCGCTATACCTGGTACACGCAATCCAACGTAAAGCCAACCTGTCCGTAGTACAGCTCACGTGCTCAGCAGTCAGCTTCGCCCATTGCATGACTGGGAGCACATGCCCGACGGTCGGACCATTCACCACACAAGTCCGCGACTTTGCGAAACGCCATTGCGGCGTCCCTACTCGTCTGAAGGAGCCCGTATCGATCCAACAAGTTCGAGACATGGCGGCGAGCTACCTGCTGTCTGACAATCCTGCGGAATTTCAGAAAGGGCTGATCCCTATCCTCATATACTCGGGATTTCTGCGATACTCCGACCTTGTGGCTATCAAATGGCAAGACATCCAATTCGACGACGATGTCATGTGGATCCTCATACCACACTCCAAGACGGATCAGGCCGGTCATGGAACATGGATACCCATTGCGGCAACGGCGGACCCTTGCTGCCCCGTGCGCTGCACCAGACGCTTCATCCAACTTGCTGGCTACGACCCGCACTCGGAGGGGTCGTTGATCCGCGTCTTCGGCCATGCCTCAACCAGCGTGGGCCAGGCGAGGCCACCTTCATACACGACGATCCAGAACTGGTGTAAGGAAGCCTTCGCAAAGGTTGGGCTTGGAGAGCAGCAGCTCGGCACGCATTCCTTCCGAAAAGGCGCGGCCACAGTGGCAGCCAACACCGGTGTACCAGACATAATCTTTAAAAGACTGGGCAGGTGGCGAAGTGACACAGCCAAAGAAATGTACGTCACGCCATACGTCGAACCTCTCATCAAGGCATCGCGCATCCTGCAGAACCCGACACTTGCATTGTCCTCGGAGCAACACGCAGAGGCACTCGTACGCAACCGGAAACCCCCGCTGCCCATGCCTCAGAGGCCCCACGTTTCTCTATTTCCAACGGCTCACTCAACTTTCCCACCACCCACCCCAGCATCGACTGCCTACTACGGCCGTTTGGACACGGTACATCTTAGCTAGTATTCTCTGCATCTACTAGCTTGTGTTAGAACTAGATGGATATGTTGTAATATGCCATTTGCAATGAGAACGATGCATTTGCAATGAGAAATATGCCAAATGATAAAAACAAGAAAGCAATCTTTCTCAATTCAGTATTCAACATTCTCGTTATTCGTTTATTCTCCGCGCGCCCTGTGCAAGTTCATTCGCATTTCTCCCTGCCCTAGAGCAGACTAGCACGAGGCCGCTTGAGGTGTTGTCGAGAGGGTGCAAAGCGATAAGATTTGGTTTGACCCGATCGACGAATGGCAGCCATCAAAATCACTTGGAGAACTGCTGGAACGGAATCCTGCCCTACTGGGCGGAGGAAACTGTTGCGTCTGAATTGGGTCGAGAGGGAGAGAGGCTCCAGCTTGCTCTTGTAGCTGGCGCGTCGTGTCCCTCCAAGAAGAGAGATGCATGGTTCGATTCGTGGATGGAGGGAACACCGGATGCAACGGGGTGCGGAATCTTTGCTGTGAGCTCGTTACTTCACTCTGACGATGCATTTTGTCAGAAATCTTGAGCACGTGAACTATTTGACGAGGAGGCTCAGTGATTTGTATGCTTCCCTAACTTCGTACAGTGAAGATAATCGTGTGACCGTCTCCTTTCACGCTCAGTACCCTTCCAGAAAGGCAAGGTCGTCTCCTTTCACCCCGTTTTGTAAGGTCCAGTCCGAGCGAAGACCACTACAGTAGCAACGACGTATCGATGGAGATCGGATGTGATATGCTCATTCGCACCATCGACCACAAGGCGTCCACCCCACGGTGTGAATTTGATCCGAGCCACAACTCCCTCCGCCCTCTTCAGACTCATCCAGGCCCATGGCGCGCCAACCGCGTTCACCACTGCTAGGCGAGGGGGCGAATGTGATCAGAAAGGGCCGGGGTAGCGCGGAATGCGCTGTACCGTCAGTCACAGTACAACTTGACCCGGCGCAGATCACAGAGCAGTGTATGGGGACGCCCTACTCGACCGAGGCCGGTACTTCGCTCTTGCGTTCATTCCGTTTGCTCGCTGATACTGTAGTAATTAAGAGCGGAATGGAGCGGAACGGTATTCAGAAAAAGTTGACGTCAGGGATGACGTTCACGCGGAGAATCCAAGGCCTGCGAACTCGCTCATTGGCCCATCTTCGCATCCCCGCATTAATGGCTGCTCCCTTCAGCTTGGCTACATCGTATAAGGAAGGCCAGTCGAACCGACAGGCTCGATGTGCGATCTAAGATCCTCTGAGCGGGCCATTGCCGAGGTTAATTGAGGCGCTGCAGTGCGCCAGGCTGTGCCATGTCAGGGTACTGTACTACTGTACCTTCGATGCTCATCCGACGTTGACTTCCGCTTTATCCCATCCCATCGCGCTGAGAGCGAGTGAGACTGAGACGCCAGGCCCCACGGCGGTGCCGATGGCGATAAAGCTGGGGGCTTCAACCCAGTCTTCAGTCCACCTCCGTTCTACCCTCCTTCAAGTGTTCAAGTGTCACTCGACTATCTTTCCACCCTACGCTAACAGCCACCTACGTCCGCACTCGGTGCGTACAGCTGGTTGAAACGCGCTAAACAATGGCGACGAGCGAGCTCATCCGACCAAGCCTTGACGTCCCTTCCCAGCAATCACAGGCTGTGCTCGCCACGTGTCACACGGACCAGGTTCCTTTCTCGCGCCGCGTGCACGACAGCCGCGCGGATCTCGATCTGCTCGCGCTGGAAGGCCGCCTCTCGCTGCTTGACGCGCAGCGCGAACTCAACGCGATCCGCTGCGAACAGTTTGTTACCATGTTACAGTCGTTCCTTAGCGAGGGAGGGCGCGGCGCCGACGACTTGCGAAATGACTGGGAGTCGGGCAGTGAAAGGAGAATGGCGTCTCGATACAGTCACAGCCAAGCAGCGGCAGCGGGGCAGGGCGAGATCCCTCGCGCGCATTCAGCGCCGGCGGAGAACGGCGCGCAGAGAGTGCCGCGCAGCCACCGCCGCAGCAGCAGCCTGAGCGGTCGCAGCGCCAGAAGGCAAGCGCTGGCCGCTAACCGCCTGACGCGGTGGGCGTCGTGCGAGCAGCGCTGGAATGGCGGCGACGACGAGTGGTGAAGCCGCCTGCGCTGCCCGTGCCTTCCGCTCGTGTCTCCCCTCGCGACGCCGCAGTGCGCGCATCTGTACATAACTCGCTCCGTCCGCCGCGCTAGGCGTTTTTTGACAGGCGTTTTTCCAGCATGGATGTTGAGAATTCTGAGATTGGCTGTAGCCTGTATATCGAGTACTGGTATTAAATATTGTTTTCTTTGAAACGACTTTCTTTTGCTCAATTCTCCGCAAACCTAGAGTTGGGAGAAACAAGCACACTCAGTTGGTGTACAATAATACAATCATTGTATGTCTGAGCATCTGAACACCATCGATGGCGCCATCCCCCTCCTCCTGTGCTGTGGAAAAAAGGCATTGCTGCTTTCAGGCTGTGTGCTCCACTACCACCCCTGATCTCGCATTGCATGCCATGGTATGCAGCTTTGCGTTGCATACAAACTGAACACAGATTACGGCATCAACCCTTCCCCTGTACACACAGCATCCACGGCACCGCACCACACACACGGCAGGTCAGCTGAGCTCCCCAGTGAAGAAGCTAGCAACGTCCGGATTATCACTCTCCCTCAGCTCTCCTGGCGGCCCAACCTCCACCACGCGGCCCTGGCTGAGCAGAGCGGTGACGTCCGCCACGCGCTCGATCTGCGGCATGCTGTGCGACACCAGCACCACCGTCAGCCCCTCCTCTCGCCGCAGCCGCTCTATCGTCTCCTCCACCTTGCGCGTGGCCGTGGGGTCCAGCGAGCTTGTGGGCTCGTCCAGCAGCAGCACCTGCGGGGAGTAGGCGAGGGGGCGGGGCGCACGATGGAGGTGTTTCTGAGAATTCTCACAACAACGCCTGCAACACCTGCAACAGCAAGGGGTCCAGCGAGCTGGTGGGTAACAATCCAGCAGAGCAGCACCTGGGGCGAGTTGGCGAGGGCGCGTGCGATGGACACGCGCTGCGCCTCGCCGCCCGACAGCTCGTGGGCGGCACGCTGTAGGAAGTCGGCGGACGGGTCGAGCCCGGCGCGCAGCAGCAGGCTCTGCTGCTCCTCCACCCCCACCGCCACGCCCTGCAGCCCCGGCCCGTACCTCACGTTGTCCGCCACCGTGCCTGGGGGAGGTGAGGGAGGGGTTGGGGGGAGAGGGGCAGGGGGGGTGGGATATTGGGCGCGATGGGGGGATGGGGAGAAGGTGAGAGGCTTGGTTGTGTGCAAGTCTAGGTGAGCGAGTGACAGTGGTGACGAGGTGGGAAGAGGAATGACACAGAGGCAGGTGTGGAAAGGCAAGGTGGAGATGAGGGGCACAACACACATGCAGGCGAGGGGTTAGGGCAGGGGGGTGCTGGGGAGGAGGTGAATGGATGCATCATGCATGTATAGTCCCAGAGACGATGGGGTGCGGTGGGGAGGGAAAGAGTGCAATGTGGCTGCGAGGCGAGCAGTGAGGGCGAGGGCACATGCAGAGAGGGGCGTTGACTTGACGAGAATTACAATGAGGTGGAGAGGAGAGGACGGGAAGGCGAGAGGGGCGGCATCAGAGGAAAGGCTCGGAGGGGTGGGGAGGGGGGCAGAAGTGGAGTTGGGTGACGAAGGAGGGGCGGAAGGGGAGTTGGGAGTTGGGGTGGGGAGGGGCTACCAGGGAAGAGGTGCGGGCTCTGGAACACCATGCCCACGCGGCGCCGCAGCTGCTGCACGTCCATGGTGGTGACGTCACAGCCGTCCACCCACACGGTGCCACGTGCCGGCTCCCACAGGCGGTTGATGGCGCGCAGCAGCGTGGACTTGCCGCTGCCCGACGGTCCTATCAGCCCGAACAGCTCCCCCGGCGCCACGCGCAGAGCCACCCCGTCCAGGATCAGCGCGCCCGTGCTCGCCGCCCTCCGCGACAACCCCCGGATCTCGATCTTCGCGGGCGCCGCCGCCTGGGGCGGCCGCAGGGGAGGGGGATGGAGGGGGAGGGGAATGGGAGCGGGGGGTGTGTGGGATGTCTTGTACTTGCACAGCCTTTTAGTCTAAACTAAACTAGTCTTCAACAGGATGGAGGTGGAGAGGGAGGAAGGGAATGAGAGGGGCATTGCAGGAAGGGGGAGGAAATGCGGCGGCGACGAGTGAGAGGGGCAGGAGCTCGAGGAGGGCCATGGCCGTAGGTGCTGCCGCTTCAGACGGGGAAGCATGCGCGCTCGGGGGAGCATGTGCGCGGAAAAGCAGGCGCACGGGGAAGCAGGAGTGCGAGGCCCGAGACAGCAGTGGAACGCGAGCGAGAGCGACGGGGCAGCTGGAGGCCCAGCGTGCGACTACCTCACACCGTGCATGCGATCGTCGCCGGCCGTGCGATTGTCGCAGTCGCCGCGGCGAGTCGCAATGACGTCGTCTGGAGTCGTCCGCGTCGCTCAGCTGCGGACGCAGCGACTCGCGGGCGCACCACTGCCGCCACCCCAGCCGTCCACCCGCACGAGCGGCGCTCGCGCTTAGGAGTTGCGGCTTCCACGAGGCCGCTGGCAGCGGGCTGCGCGCGCCCGCGACGCCGCCGCTCATGGCGCGCCGGTGATGGCGCGCGAGCTCGGCGGTGGCTGCCGCTGCGCGGAGTCGAGACGCGAAGGAACGACGGTCGAGAGGACGGGCGCGATGGATGGAGGGAGGGAGATGCGGAGGACGCGGGAGACACGGATGTCGAATCGACCGCAGTGAGCGGAGGCAGTGACGCCGCAGAGAGAGAGAGAGCGCGGGAGCAGAGAGCGAGGTACGGAACAGGTGTAGCGGATGGCTGGCACTGTGGTGGCAACGGAGAGGAGAGCTGCGGGAATGTGGGCCAGAGGGGCGCTGAAGGCAGGGAAATCAATGCCGATGGAACGGAATGGAATGGAAGTCGAACAGGGAGGCCCGTTATGACAAAGCCGATTGTGCTGTACAGACTGTGTATTATCGCATGCATATGATATGTCTGATATAGCGTGAGCATTGAACGACAGCAGATACCATACTCTGAATTGCACGCCTTGAGCTGTCTGCGAATGTTTCATTTATATTTTCTCCGGGATCATACCTAGGTTACAAATACTGCAAATCATTTGTTGAAAGGAACCAAGCAATGCCACAAACGAGTCACAGGCGAGCCACAAGTTAGGCACAAGCGACGCCGCAGTACTTGCGACCGCCATGGATGCGGCGCGCCGCGATCGAGTGCGCCTAGCGCCGCCGGGCAGATCGCAGCGCGGCGAAGGCGGCGGCGCGAAGCCAGGCCGCGAGAGCGCGCGCGAGCGGGAGGCGCGGCGGCAACAGCTGCAGCGGTCGCTGGACGAGGCGCAGAAGCCGCTTGCCGCCGCCCTCGCCGTCGCCTGGAAAGGTGCCGCTCCTCCCCGCTTCCTCTTCCCCTTCCACTTCACCCTCGCCTCGCAACGCCTCTCCCCGGCTGTAGCGAGTAGCGAGAGAGGCAAGGATGGGGAAAGGGAGCTGGGCGGGGCGTGGGGAGCGGGAGACGTGGTGTGTGGCGGTGCCGCTTGACGCTGGGAGCTGCCTCTCTTCCCCCCCCTCTCGCCCCACTTCTCCCCCTCTCCCGCTCTCTTCTGTTGCTGAACCACCTTGTGCCGCATCACACTCATTACATGTTGCGTCTGAATTCATGGCATGGCTTGGTGGCATGGTGCATGCATGGGGCATGGTGCCTTCACGGGGCATGGTGCATGGCATGGTGGATTGTGCATGAGGCATGGGGCATGAGGCATGGGGCATGGGGCATGGGGCATGGGGCATGGGGCATGGGGCATGGGGCATGGTGCATGGGATGTCATGGTGGCATGGCATTATTCACGTGTGCATGTGTGCATGCCAGCAGGACCTTTTCCTCCAACCACCACGACTGCACGTCCTGCCACCAATGGCAGCTGTGCTTCTGCTACCACGTGGCAGGGAGCAGCCTCATGGCAGGACACGTGGCAGTGGCAGTGGGCGTCGCAAGACCCTGCGCTGCACAATCAGCTGCTACGTGGCGTGCAGCGATTGCTCGACTTCGTGGCGGCCAATGAGATGCCTCTCTGGAGTGACGTGGCATGCAGGCGAACAGTGAAGGTGAGGGGCGGCAGCGAGTGCAGGGGGCGATGTGCATGGCTTCTCTACGTGCACATTTCATTATGCCTCACTGCCCCCTTCCATACATCTCCTCTCATGCTCCTCTCTTCCCCCCGCTCTTCTCGTTCCCCGCTTCCTCCCCCTCCGCTCCCCCCCCTGCCCCCACAGGCGCTCTACGAGGCGTGCGGGGCAGCGCTGCTCCACCTGCTCGCATTCCACGCCCCCCCAGCGCTGCAGTCGGTGCGGCAGGCAGCGGTGCGAGTGTGTGCGCGCATGGCCACTGCAGGGGGGCGGTGGTGGCGGGAGAGTGTCACGGGCGCCATGCTGCTCGCGCTCTCAGCATATGTTGATGCGTCAGGTGAGGCGGGTGGGGCGGATGGGGGGGAGGGGGCGGGGGTGTCATGAGCGGTGTGGGAGGCATGGGGGACGTGGGGCCAGTGCGGGGGGGCTCTGGTGGCGGGAGAGTGTCACGGGCGCCATGCTGCTCGCGCTCTCAGGCTACGATGATGCGCCAGGTTAGTGGGGTGGGACGGTTGGGGCGGGTGGGGCGGGTGAGTCATGGGCAGTGGGGGAGGTGGGGGATGTGGGAGCTGCGACGTGGGTTAGAGATTTAAAGCCGAGCTATATGGCGAGGTGGTGGTTGCCCCATGCTGCTGTGCTGCTGTGCTGTATACATGGGTGCGTTATGCTGCGGAGTCGCGGTGTGCTCCACTCTGCGCACAGAAATGCACGTCCTGTGCTGCCTCTCTTGCGTTGCCTCTCCACTCTGCTCTGCGTGCTACCCCTTGCCACCACCGCTGTGTGCCACGCACCACAGGCCCCTGGACCCCTCTCGCCGTGTTCCCATCCCGATTTCCCTGTTCCCTTACCCACCCCATGTGTTGCCCGCCTTCCACGCCCTCTGCTCACCTTACTCAACTCAATTCAGCATGCCCTGCACCGTCTCCTCCCCTGCTCACCAGCACTACCCTGCCCTGTGTGCCCCGTGTGCCCTGTGTGCCCCGCGTGCCCTGTGTGCCCCGCGTGCCCTGTGTGCCCCGCGTGCCCTGTGTGCCCTGTGTGCCCCGTGTGCCCCGTGTGCCCCGTGTGCCCCCTGCACCGTGTGCCCCGTGTGCCCCGTGTGCCCCGTGTGCCCCCTGCACCGTGTGCCCCGTGTGCCCCGTGTGCCCCGTGTGCCCCCTGCACCGTGTGCCCCGTGTGCCCCCTGCACCGTGTGCCCCGTGTGCCCCGTGTGCCCCGTGTGCCCCGTGTGCCCCGTGTGCCCCGTGTGCCCCCTGCCCCGTGTGCCCCGTGACAGCAGACGACCACGTGGTGCTGGACGCATGCACTGCCCTCACTGCCTCGCTCCTCGCCCTGCCTCCACAACCCCCCTCCCGCCCACTCCGCCACGCCCCCATTCCCACCCTCCCGTCCTCCCTCCTCGCACCCCCCCCCACCATGCTCCCCCCTTCCCCCCCGTCCTCCTCGCCCCTCGCCCTGCCGCTCGCCACCCTCACACCCCCCCTGCTCGCCTCACTGTGGCGCCTCCATCTCTCGCCCTCCTCTGCTGCCCCGAGCACCAATGGTGGGGAGGGTACGAAGGGCGGCAAGGCCAGGGGTGGTGGAGAGGGGAGGAGGGGAGGAGTGGTGGCGCGGGCAGCAGAGTGGCTGTGGGGGGCAGCAGGCACGGGGGATGGGAGGGGCGTGGGAGGGGAAGCAGTGGTGGGGCCGGAGGGAAGGGAAGGGGGCATGGGCGGGGCAGGGTTGCATGCTCACACCGCCACTGCTTCAAGCGGTGGGGATGCGTGTGGAGGAGTGGTAGGAACGGATGGAGGTTCACAAGCGCATAGCAGCACGTGCAGTAGTAGCACACCCACAGATAGCAGCAGGCTGAGCGACAGCAGCAGCAGCGGGCGTGAGAAGAAGAAGAGCAGCGACGATGAGCCCATGGCTGCGTGGAAAAAGAGGCAGGCAGCAGCGGTGGCAGCGGTGCTGCACGTGCTGCTGCTGCTGCTGCAGCGCTGCCCGGCGGGTGGCCGGGAGGTGAAGAGGGAGGTGCTCCGCCTGCCCGCACACCTGTCAGGTGGCAGGGGGCGCATGGCGCAGCTGGTGGGCATGGCGCTGCCGCATGGGGCGCACATTGATGGTTCTGCTGCTGCTGTTTCAGAAGCAGTGTTGAGCCTTCTCAGTGCCATGGGTGAGTGGGCCATGTGACTGCTTCTCATTCTTATGCTTTCTGTATTTGTTTCTAGGTAAAATGGATTGACGTGGGTGCACCCCATGTGCATCTGGGCATGATTCAGCAAGTCTCTTACTTGTCTGAGTACCACCATAATCTCCACTCAACTCATAATCTTTCTGCACCAACCCACCCCCCTTTCCTCGCAGCGCAGGACCCCTCCATGTGCCACCTGCTGCTGCACCCGCCCTTCCGCCTCCTCCCTTCTCTCACCCGCCACCTCTCACCCGCGCCCTCCTCACACTCCTCCTCCTCCTCTTGCATCATCACCTGTCCCGCCTGCCGTCGAGCCGCCCTCTCGCTTCTGCAAGCGCTCGCTGTACGATCCTTCCTTGCCATGCACGTCCCTTGCCATGCACGTCCCTTGCATGCACGTCCCTTGCCATGCACGTCCCTTGCCATGCACGTCCCTTGCCATGCACGTCCCTTGCCATGCACGTCCCTTGCCATGCACGTCCCTTGCCATGCACGTCCCTTGCCATGCACGTCCCTTGCCATGCACGTCCCTTGCATGCACGTCCCTTGCCATGCACGTCCCTCGGTCATCGAGCATTTGTCCCCTGGATGCATGCTGCTCTCGCTCCACCCCTTTTCTCTCAGACGGTCCTTCGTGTTCTATGAGAGATACAGTCATAGAAGTAAATGGGGTAAGATAACAAGGCAACCCTTACCGTCTCTCTGTCCCTCACCCTTTCCCCCTAATTCCTCTTCATACCCCATCACACGTGTGCAGAGCCGCCCATCGTTCGCTGCTGCCACACGTTGCACTTCGCCCGCCACCACCACTGCAGCATCGCCCCTCACCCCCCTCCTCACCTTCGCCCTGCAAGCAGCCCACACACCCCTCCCCCTGACCCGCTGCCACTGCCCCCACCCGCCCTCCCTCCGCCTCATCTCATCCTCCTCTTCGCCCGCCAGCTCAGCACGTGATGACTCAGTAGCCAGCCACGTGGCAGCATCTGCTTGGCAGACCGCAGCGAGCCTCCTGCGCTGGCCGGGTGGCCATCATGACCCGGCCGTGCTGTGGGCGGCAGGCTTGTATGCATCTGTGCTGACGCGTGCACTGCTGGGCGGCGGGTTGAATGAACATTCAGGACGTGCAGAGGGCAGCTGTGAAGAGCAGATGGGTATTCGGGGGGGTGACGGCAGGGCGGGTGGGGGGGAGGAGCAGGTGGGAGGGTCGCAGGTCGTCATGGCAGCAGCGTGGGAGGCAGTGAGGTGGATGGCAGCATTCTGCCACGTGGCAGTGTGTGACTCAGAAGGGGGTGTGACTCTAGTGAGGGCGAAGGAGGCAGGAGGCAGGGCATGTGGGAAGGCAGGCGAGAGCGGGGAGAGCAGGGGAGGGGTGGGTGGTGGGGGCGGAAAAGGGGAAGGAGGTGGAAGGAGCGGGGGGGATGCGGATGAACATGCAGGCATGAAGGCGGTAGCAGCATTGGCATGGTGAGCGACGAGGGGTAAATACCAAAGAGTGAGGGAGATGAAACAGATGTGAGGAGCTGCTGGGTGTAGTGAGGTTGTGGGTGGGCCCACAGCCTCTGCTGCCTGTGCTCGTGAGGCCAATCTGGGATGGTGCCTCCGCACCTTCGCCACCTCTGCTACTGTCCCCCTCTGCAACCTCTTTAACCCCCCCCCATGACTCCAGCTGTGGACTTTCCGTCACTTTGCATAGCACTGTCGTGTCCATCCCTCTCATCCGTATTCCCCACAGCGTGCTACTAGCCTTAATTTTCAATTACCCCTCTCTTCCCCTCCCCCCTACCCACCGTTTCTGCAGCGCTCACCTGGTCGCACTGCTTGCTCCCTCCTCTCACACCACACCTCGCCTCCTTGCTGTCCCCTCCGCACCCTCGCCTGCACCCACCACCCCTCTCCACCCGCCCACGGCCCACGCCCTGCTCACCGCGCTGCTCGCGCTGCTCTCCTCGCCCTGCCCCGCCCTTGCCTCTCTTTCCCGCGCCGCCCTCTCTCAAGCACTCACAGCCGCCTCGTGTGAGGCACGGCCCACGGGGGAGGGCGGGAGAGAGGGCGGTGAGCGTGCAGGAAGCAGTGCAGCACCCAGTGCCCGCCAGAGTGACAGCAGCACTGCAGGGCAGGAGGGTAGTGGCAGCACCAGCAGTAGCAGAAGCGGAAGCAGCAGCAGCAGTGGCGGGTGCAGGGCAGAGGACAGGGAATGGGAAGGCGGTCGCGAGGCCAGCCTGAGCGGGCTGGCAGCAGCAGCGGTGCGCCAGGCTGCCCTCGCTTGCCGCCTCTGCTCGCGCCCGGCCCCTCTTCACTCCTCTGCACCGCTGCTCACCGCTGAAACGCCGCGCCAGGAGGTGGAAGCTTCCACGAAGCTGCTGGTGATGGCAGCGCTGGCGTGTGATGGGCGGGGTGGGGAGGCAGTGCTGGCGCAGGGGGGCGTGCGGGCCGTGGGACTGGTGGTGGCGGCCCGCGTGGCCCTGTGGACCAAGGGGGGCGCAGGGGAGGGGGAGGGGCAGGGGGAGGGGGACAGTGGGGAGGTGGGGGGGTTGGTTGATGATGGGAGGAAGGGCGAGGGCGGAAGGAGGTGGGGGGAAGGCGAGGGGTGGGCTGGTGGAGCCCGAGAGGAAGGTTATGGGGAGGATGAGTGGGGATGGGATGAGGGGAATGAGGCGTGGTGGGGGGATGGGGAGCTGGAGGGAGGGGAGGACGAGATGGTGGGAGTAATGGGGGGCGGGGGAGGCAGCGACGCCAATGGGGAGATGGGTGCTGACACCATGCTGCTGGCTCATGAGAGGCCGGACATACCACATGCGCCATACAGTGCTGACGTCACAGCATGGCAAGGTGCTGACGTCATCCTGTTCTCTGGCCTCACAGCCCTACTCGCCCTCCTGCACCGCGCACAGCCGTTACCATCGCACCCCACGGCAGTGCCATTAGAGCCACTGGCACTCACCCCCCTCTGCGAGCTCCTCCCTGAGAACCTCGTCCCTGCCCTCACTCGTCTCCTCCATCCCGCATCGCCCGCTGGTCTGCGCTGCCTCGCTGCCCGATGCCTCTCGCTCTGCCGCTCCCTGCCCCGCCTACCCCCACCCTCCGCTGCACTGCCTGCTGCTGCCAAACAACCCTCTGAGCAGCAGCCCTCTCATCTCCCTCCGTCTCACCATGCGCCCGCCACACACAGTGAGCCACCCCCCCTGGGAGTGTCCTCTGCTGTCGCCCGTGACATCCGCTCTGCTCTCACCTGCCTCTCCCCTTCCTCCTCGTCCGCCTCCTCTCCCATTCATGCATCACACAGTCACTTCACCCCGCTCTCGACCTCCCCTGCAAGCCCCAAGGCGCAAGTGGCGTTCGTCCTCACGCACCCCTCTGCACCCACCTCCACCGCTGCCGCCTCCCCACTGCGAGTGGCGGCACATGCAGCAATCATCGCTGCCCGCTGCCCCGCCCTCCTCTCGCCCCTGACCGCGCCCTCTGCCCCTGCCCAAGCCTCCACCACTGGGCACCCTCATAGCACCCCCTCTATTCAAGGAAAGGATGAGGGGGTGAATGGGCAAGGGATGGCAGCAACGGGAGGAGAGCGGGCAGAGGGAGGGGAGGGGGTGGTGAGGGAGGTGCGGCTTGGGAGGGGCGTGAGTGCAGAGACGTTCAGTCAGCTCCTGGAGTATATTTACACGGGACAGGTGTCGCTCTCCCATTCGCTGTCCAAGGATCTGCTGCAGCTGGCTAAGAAATGCCAGTTGGAGGGGTTGGTTGCGCTCCTTCGCTGTGATTGGCCGATCTGGGGCAGGGATGATGCGTTGGGGTGTGATCTGACGCCAGCACTTGGTCCTGCTGGGCTGCCTTGGAGGTGAGGCATGGCATTCATGGGGCATGGCAGTGTGGGGCATGGCAGCATGGGGCATGGCAGCATGGGGCATGGCAGCATGGGGCATGGCAGTGTGGGGCATGGCAGCATGGGGCATGGCAGCATGGGGCATGGCAGTGTGGGGCATGGCAGCATAGGGCATGGCAGCATGGGGCATGGCAGTATGGGGCATGAGCATGTGGCATGGCAGGCAGCATGGGGCATGGCAACATGGGGCATGGCAGTTCGTACTGTTAGTCATTGTCCCTTTCCTCTGTCCATCAACCCTCCCAACCTGAATCATTCGTCATCGCTTCATTAGTCTCTGCGCCGTGCCTCACCATCTCATCTCACCACCTCGTCTCTCCCCTGCCTCCCTCTGTGCCTGCCCCCACACATGCCCCTATCCCCACACATGCCCCTATCCCCACAGCGACATTGTGCTCTGCGTGCCGTGCGCCCGCCATGCTCCCCTCTCCCCCGCGCACCAACCACCTGCAAGCCCCAGCAGCTGCGGGGAAGAGGCGCAGCATGAGGCGTGCGGGGGGCCTGGCGGGGAGGGCAGTGGGGAGTGGGGGGGCGGGCAGGGGGGTGTGTGGCGGTGTGTGCGGGTGGCGGCGCACCGCTGTGTGCTGGGGGCGCGCAGCCAGTACCTGCACGCGCTGCTGCACTGCGGCATGCGCGAGAGGTGGGGGGGAGGGGGCGAGTCGGGGGTTGGGAAGTAGGAGGGTTGGGGGGGGGGAGATGGGGGGGAGTGGGGTAAATGAAAGGGGAGAGAGGGGGGAATGAGGGGAGGCGATTGAAGGGAGTGAGGGGGGTGAACAATGGGAAGGCTGAGCGGGTTGGAGTGATGCTCTCTGTGCACGAGTCCGTCTGTCCTCTCAGAGCGTCATATACCAATTTGCTGTTGACTCATTTGATTTGCGTTGCTTGTTCTCCCCTTCCCCCCTCTCTCTGCATGCGCTGTGCCTGCCGTGCAGCTCGCAGCACGAGGTGCATCTGCCACCGCTGCCTTTACCAGCGCTCATCGCTCTCCTGCGCTTCCTCTACTCCGCCCGCGTCTCCTTCCTCCCCCTCCCCCTCCCTCCCCGTGCCGCCCTCGCACCCACCAACCTCAACCACCCGTCTGCCCCCGCTGCTGCTGCTGCGAGCCCAAGCCGGCATCACAGCGCCCCTGCACCGCTCTCCTCTGTGCGCCTGCCCCCGCTCACACTCACTACGCGCTTGCTCTCTGCAGTGCAACTTGCATCGTTGGCTCACCAATGGATGCTGCCCGCCTTGCATCACAGCGCCCTGTGCTACGTGGCAGCACGCCTGCGTGCCACCTGGCATGTCCCAGTCAGCGGCGGGCCGTGTGAGAGTGCTGTTGACTGCAGTGATAGCAGCAGCAGGAGCAGCACGGGCAGCGCCGCCAACTCTGGCACGGATCGGGCCCGGGAGGGCCCAGTGGCACCGTGGGCGGCAGCGGAGGCGGTGGTGCGGGCGGCATGGGCGGCGGGGCATTGGGAGATGGTGGGGGAGGCGGTGAGCAGCCTGGCGCCATGGTACCCCGCCATGCGCCGCACTGCCTGCCTGCACCGCCTGCCACCACAGGTTCAGAGCGCTGTCAGGGAGGCGCACGTGCGCTTGCTCACTGCTCCCCCTTGACGCTGCCTGCCTGTGTCCCTGTGCCCTCGTGAGCTGGCTCGAAGGCATTCCGCTCAAACGAGTTGCCGAGCTTGGTGGGCGTTCGCTGCCGATACACGGCAGGGTGGTGGAGGGGGGGGGGTATGGGGGTGGCTGTAGCCTGTGGGATAAAGCTCAATGTGGTAAGCTTCTTCAGTGGGGTGGGGAGCTCAGCTGAGGATTAGGTTGAGAAAGGGAGGTAACATTTGAATGTTCTGCTGCATCACCGCTCTGAGCAATGAATGTGGTGCATAACACAGTGCGTGTTGAGCAGTTATTTCACAACAGATGGCATACTGGAGAGTCTCCAAAGTTTCAGAACGTGAAGATGAGTGCTGCAAGAAGGAAGGATGTTGGATCTGAGCTAGTTCGAGACATAGTCTCCGCAAGTCTGCACGAATGCGTGGCGTGGCATGGTTCTAGCCAGGAAACCAGAGCCTGAAATCAGTCATGGATTTAACCCATTGTGAAGGAGGAAATGAGTGACGCATCTTCGGATCGCAGACTCTTGAACCAGTGTTCAGAGATTTTCCCCAGAATGAGGAATGAACGTGTGAAACGTTTCAATAAATAAATAAATCGTACAGAGATTACACAAATCCAGAGTGGTGGTCATCTGGGTTTTATGACCCGTTTGAGAATTTAGAAAGCTCTTCCGGAGTATTGTTTGTGCATGGCGGCATTAGGAGAACACACATCAGCGCTGCGCCTGGATGGATGTAGTCGGCACGCACGGCGGGCGGAGCGGGTATGTACAGCTGCTCGGACGGCGGCGGCGCAATGAAGAATAAGACGTTTCAAAGAATCAAATAATATATTTGATATTCAGGTTCAGCCATCCTCAGCATAACATAGATGCTGGAAAAACGCCGAGCACGGCGGGAGTAACAAGGTATGTACAGCTGCGCACACTGCGGCGTCGCGCTGGGAGACACGACCGGAACATCGCTGCGATATAACACGGGCAGCGCAGGCAGCTTCACCACTCGTCGTCGCCGCCATTCCAGCGCTGCTCGCACGACGCCCACCGCGTCAGGCGGTTAGCGGCCATCGCTTGCCTCCTGGCGCTGCGACCGCTATTGCTGCTGCTGCGGCGGGTGCTGCGCGGCACTCTCTGGGCGCCCATTTCGAGCGGCTCTGAATGCGCGCGCGGGATCTCGCCCCGCCCCGCTGCCGCTTCGTGACTGTGACTGTATCGAGACGCCGTTCTCCTTCCTCTACCCGACTCCCAGTCATCTCGCAGCTCGTCGCCGCCGCTCTCCCCCTCGCTCACGAACGACTGTAACATGGTAACAAACTGTTCGCAGCGGATCGCGTTGAGTTCGCGCTGCGCGTCGAGCAGCGAGAGCCGGCCTTCCAGCGCGAGCAGATCGAGATCCGCGTGAGTACCGCGCTCGCGTCGCGAGAGAGGAACCTGGTCTGTCTGACACGTGGCGAGCACAGCCCGCGACTGCCGGGAGGAGACGTCGAGGTTTGGTCGGATGAGCTCGCTCGTCGTCATTTTATAAACGCGCTTGTCAACCAGCTGTTAGCACCGAGTGCGGAGGGAGGTGGCTGTTGACGTAGGGTGGAAAGAAACTCAAGTGACACTTGAACGCTTGAAGGAGGGTAGAACGGATGTAAACTGAAGGTTGGGTTGAAGCCCGCAGCTTTATCGCCATCGGCACCGCCGTGACACCCGGCGTCAGTCTCAGCGTGAGGGGATGGGATCATCCCTCTATGATAAGAGCGGAAGTCAACGTCGGATAATCACAGCCTGGCGCACTGTAGCGCCTCACTTAACCTCGCCGTGGTCCTGCTACGCGGCGGATCTTTTAGATCGCACAACGAGCCTGTCGGTTCGAGCCGCCTTCCTGGATCAATTTGGGAGCAGCCACGAATGCGGGGATGCGACGGTGGGCCAATGAGCGACTTCGCAGGGCTTGTGTCTTCCGTGTGAGCGTTATTCCTGACATCATCTTTCTCTGTACACCACTCGCTCTTAATTACTGTACTGTATCAGCGAGCAAACGGAATGAACGCAAGAGCGAAGTACCGGCCTCGATCTAGTAGGGCGTCCCCATACACTACTCGCACCTGCTCTGTGATCTGCGCCGGGTCAAGCTGTACTGTGACTGACGGTACAGCGCATTCCGCGCTACCCCGGCCCTTTCTGAGCACATTCGTCCCCTCGCCTAGCACTGGTGAACCCGTTTGGCGCGCCATGGGCCTGGATGAGGCTGAAGAGTGGCGGAGGGAGTTGAGTGGCTCGAATGACATTATTTGTGGGGTGGACGCCTTGTGGTCGATGGCACGATACAGTTCTAGTGAGCAGCATATTTACATCAGATCTCCATAGATACGTCGTTACCAGTGGTGTGGTCTTCGCCGAGACCCGGACTTCAAATTACTGTATGGGTTGAAATGAGACTCCCTTGCCTTTCTGGAAGGGTACTCAACGCGAGGGAGACGGTCACTGGTTCCATGAAAGTCAGACTCAGAGACCACACGATTATCTGTTCACTCCAAATTGTTAAGTCATTGAGCCATGTCCGAGTTCCCACGCTCAAAGATTTCTGCCAAAATGCATTCGCACAAGAAAGGAAAGGGTCTACACACCACACCCCATTGCGTTGGCTTGCTTGCTTGCTTCCACACCACAACTACCACGTCAAATCGATCCCGCCGCCATGCATCTCCTCTGCGAGAACGTGAAGCTCGGCAACTGTACCGCCGTGATGTAAACTACTGTAACAACCTTTCAAGCTGGAGCCTCCGCAAGCCCACTCAGACGAAACAGTCTGCGCCCAGTAGGGCAGGATTTGCCTCTAAACAGTTTCGTGATGTATTTCGTGGCTGCAATTCGTCGATCGGGTCAAACCAAATCTGGTCTCTTCGCATTGCACCCCTCAGCACAGCAACACCTCCTCCTCAACTGAACTCGTGCATGGCAGCGGGGTGTGCATCCATCCAGCTGAAAAGAACTGAGAAGGGGTAATGTAGTGCTCACTAATAGCTGCCTCCTTAGCAGTAACACTCACTACAAACTCGAAAAATCTCACTCTCATTCATATAATCTCTCTCATACAGTGCAAAGGGCTTATTTTATCAGTATAAATCACCCGATACACTGACAATCCGAGTGAATTTTAAAGGTCACACCTTCGGTCCGGTTTAATATGGGGTTACGTTTTCCCTAAAATGTCATGGTTTTGTTTTGAGGCACACTTTTGGCTCAGTATGTTACGATATGGAATTGTTGTTGAACATTCCTAAAGTAGTCAAGTCTCAACGCAAAGATGACTGCAGCAAGTCTCGAGCGACATAAACAGTTATCGAAGACAATTGCAAGCAGAAAAAAATGAAGTGCAAGCGCGGGAAAGGCATTCAAACAGTTACCTTGCCGCGTGCAGTTACCGAACCGGACGGTTGCCTTTCTTGATCTAGATTAGCCCTAAGAGAAATATACACCCTCATAGTACATGGCTTGTCGAGAGTTAACTGTGCAGGAATGAGATTGGACTAGGAACAAGGAGATAAAAGTATGAAACCCTAACTGGGGTTGTACTCTATACTCAGCACCTCACTGTAGCCTAGCAGAACTAACAACATATAAATATGTTTTGACACACCCCCATAGGCAAAGGGAGGGATAGCCAACACAACAAACGGTCACAAGACCAGTCAGGCAAGAGAACAAAGCAATGCAAAGCCCAGGGTGGATCTCAAGATCACTACGCATTCTGAGCACAAACAAGCGGCCACAAGGCCAGTTCACATGCAGAGTTATAATAGCAAGGCACTACACTTATCACAACCTAGCAAGAGTAAACATGCAGGTATAAATATTGTCAAACTGTATTTGCTCTGTAGGCTTTAGTGGGGCATACCCTAAAGGGTACAACACTTTAGGGTTAGGACTATACAATCCTGTACTGTCCTCATTCTAGTTCATTCTTACATTCTGACATGGTTTCAGAGCAGGTCCCGGTTAGGACCGTTTTTTTTTTTTAGGGCCCACCGTCGTTTCCGCTTGATCCTGCCCGTAGCGCCCTTGCGCTGTCCTGCCCTACCCGAGAGAGTCGCGCTGCACTGTTGCCACGCGCTCTCCCCTGCCCTAGCGCGCTGCCTGCTGCACGCGCTGCTTGCTTTAGCGCGTCGCGCTGCCCTGCTCGCGCTGCCTGCAAGCGCGCTGCCCGAGCTCGCTGCGCGCCCTGCCTGCTTGCTGCGCCTGCTGCTCACGCGCTGCCCCTGCCGCTCGCGCGCTGCATTTGCTGCCCGCGCGCTGCTCGCCCTGCCCGCGAACTGCCCGCGCGCTGCTGCGCCTGAGCCACTGCTGCCGCACGCGCTGCTGCGCTGTGCTCTGCCCCGCGCTGCTGCTGCTGCTGCATACGCTGCTGCTGCTACGCAGCTCCTGCCCACCGCGCTGCTGCTGCTACGCTTCTGCGCCTGAGCTGCTGCTGCCGCTCGCACTGCGTTGCTGCTGCTGCTGCTGCGCCTGAGCTGCTGCTGCTGCTGCTGCTGCACGCGCTGCTGCACTGAGCCGCGCCGCCCTGCCCAAACCGCGCCGCGCCGCCCTGCCCGAGCCGCGCCGCCCTGCCCGAGCCGCGTCGCCCTGCCCGAGCCGCACTGCACTGCCCCTACAGAGCTGCACTACCTTACTGCTGCTGCTACTGCTACTGCAGTTGCTGCTACTACCGTTCTGCTGCTATGGCGACCCCTACTGTTCTCACCTTTGACGGAGAGGGTCACCTGGTAGACTTCGAATCCTGGTTAGAGGATCTCCACATGTACCTGCAGAGCCAGACTAGGGAGGATGTCTCACTTTTTGAGCATACCTCTGGGACCCTAGCCGCCCTTGCTACCACAGCTATTCGTGTAGACCAGTCCATATGGGCGTCTCGTGACGCTACTGCCGCTCTTTCTGTCCGTAGCCACCTTCCGCTAGACCAGCGCTCTCACTTTCGCCAGCTTAAGACGGCCAAGGTGCTTTACGACGCTGT